CTTGCCCAGGGACACTAGGGCATGGGACTGCTGATGGATTTGAACCTCCAACTCTCGCATTGGAGGACGACTGCTCTAACCACTCAGCCACAGCCGCCCCACATTTATGTGTATGACTCATGCAGTTTAGAAAAATCCTTTAGTTTTGAAATATGATCTTCCATTTTGTCTAAACCAATTTAAATGCATGTACTGTTTGTTTCACCCCTGCTGCACCGCGCAGACACTGCACCTGCTTCACTGTCCCTATGGGGCAGCACTGCCCCCAATCGATGCGGCAAAGTAATTTCTGCCGCACCTCTTGTGTTTATCAACGTGCAGTATGGCCGATTAGAAAGAAGAAATATGTCACACACATTTATTCAATATATTAGACAGACTCTAGAACATCAGCATGTGCAGCACATGTGTAATCAAACATGTATATTGGTGATATAGAGACAGCAATGGGCATGCTCCAAACGCCTACTTCATATATTGTATATGCCACCGCCCCCCGAGGTGAACCAGAAAACTACACTGCCTCACCCTGCATTGTTTGAACAGGAAATGCGCAAAGTCCTCAATTTTGACCCCTGAAGTGTTGAAATAATTCAGAAAACAGTTTTATAGAAGAGTCAAGTGGTCAAATGTATGCCAGGAGAGGCAGTGCCTCCCCTGACTGCACGTCTCTGCCTTAACATCTGTTTTTAGTGAGGTTTGGTGAAAACTATACATCCAAAAGCATTTTAAAGGCTTGTCACCCTCAATAAAGGTAAAGGAACAAAAACAACAAAGGATTAGTTTGGTCACAATCATTCTTTGAAACTTGTTTATGGAGAAAAAAAAGCCAATTAAAAAGTTTAGAACAATTAAATCAAAGAAGCTTTTATTATTGGAGTTTTACTGTTACATGTGTAAACATGAATAGTCTAAAATTGTTATGTATTTGTTGATTTACAGTTTTATATCCTCATTTTGAAAGAAAAGAAAAAAGCAGAATAACACTGACTATGCTACCAATTTGTGTCTGTAACAAAAGCACAAGCTAAATACTGTACTGGATTTTATTTGAACAGCTGATGATCATTTCTTGTTATAAATACTGTATTACTAAACAAGTCACACATCAGTATTAATATAATACAAAGTGCTCCTTCAGCAAAACAGGAATTCAAGGAGGGAGACGTTCTGTGCAAGCACAGTGTGCACAGTCCTTACAGCTGTACAACACACCACGGTCGTGTCTGTGCACCACATCATCGACGTCATGGTGATATTGCTGAGCCACAGAGTCTCTTCAAAAGTGACACGTTAGAAAAAGTTACATTTTATTTCTGCAAAGCTACTCCCATGGCACTTTATTTCCAACAGAAAATGTTACAGGATGGATTTTCCCACCTACAAGTTTACACTCAGATTTCTTGAAAGCCCCCCCCACGTGGTTCATAATGTGAAATCAGTAAAAACAGCAGTGGGGTGATCTTCAACCACAAATACTGTGTTAGAGCTGTATCATAAAAGCACAGGCACGTTTGTTACAGCATGTTTGGCTGTAAGCTGATGAGAAGTTGGCAAGAGGACACGCGTCAACAGTTAAGAGTTTACTGAACGGGCAGAGGAAAGTGCTCTCGCCTCATGATGCAGCTGAAGAAAAGCTAACTGGCTAAAATGCTAGCTAACATAAACAGCAAAGGAAAAATCTAATTAAACGTCCAGCTAGAAGAGCTCAAAGTGGCAAACTACTGAAATAAAAACTACAATGGCTGAAAGATGAAACAACTAATAGTAAACTAGTAACTAGTAACTAAGCAGGTGTCTCTTGTAAATGACTCCTTGCAATTCAATGAGATAAATAATGTATAAATGTATAAATAAAGGTTGAATGAATGAATAGTGGAAGTAAATTTCTGAAACAGCTACATGCTAAAGCAACTATAAATAATGCCTTAAAGTAACTGATTAAAGTGATTTCAGTGTATTCCAGTCTTAATAAATAAAACACGTTCAGTAAACTAACTCGTATATTATGCTAGTTGACATGAAGACATTTTTAGACATCAAGTGAAAAACCTAAAGTAACAAAAGTTAGCTAACAAATTAAATAAATAACAGAAGTTAAAAAAAAGCTAAAAGCCTTAAAAATGCTGAACAGGTCAATGAGCAAATATTTGCAATTTATAAAGACTAAAACAATTAAGATACAATGTAAAGAATGTACTTAATGACTTAGATGTTTTTTTACTCAAACAAAGAAAATAAATGTAAATACAGGCTATAGACTTACTTTAGTGTTTTGTAACAATAAATGAACACTCAATGTGTAACGAGCATGTACCAGCAAGACCACCGTGATTTACCTGTGGATTCATTCAGCCCAGCTGCCTTTGACGTGTAATGAAAGACAGGGAACATTAGCACTTGGCAATTTTTAATATTGTACCAATTTATGCCCCAAATGTTAGCCAAGATATTTACAAGTCAAGCAAAGCAATGTGGTGACGTGCATTTCTTCAAATATTGGTGAGGAGAGCTGATGCTGACGTGCCGGAGTGATTATTTGTTTCTGGGTGTCTTTCTCCTCACCATCTTTACCCAGGTGCTCTTTGTATGTTGGGGCATATTTTTCATGTGTTAGTTTAATACTGACTCTGATTTTTGTTTTGTTTCTTCTTATGGCTGCTCCTTCTTCAGGGGTCGCCACAGTGAACTAACTTGCACGAAAACTTGGTGCTTGTTTTTACGCCAGATGTCCTTCCTGACTCAACCACAGACACCGAGCTACCACAGCCTCTGTGTGGAGCACAGAGCTGCATCTAGGACACCCGCAGGAGCAGATGGTGGGGGTTAAGGGCCTTGCTCAAGGGTCCAGAGCAGGGCAAATGAGGATGGAAGACAGGTGTGGGTGCTTCACCTTTCCCACCCACATTTTTTGATGTTATCAGTACAGGGAGTCGACCAACAACCTTCTGATCACAGGCCCGCCTTCTCTAACCTCTGCGCCACCACTCCCCTTTAATAGTGATTCTGATGACTTGTAAAAATCTTTGCTGACAGTTCTGGTCAAAAATCAGTGAGGAATAAAAAAATCAATCCAGGGCATTAATATTCACTGCTGTTCTTGGAAAGCCGACATTTAAGACGGAAGCCATGCTGAACACTTCTCTGATTGTTCTCATGGCACACAGTATGAACACGGTGATGGGAAGCAGTGACAGGAGTGCTCATGAGCATCACGTAAAGTTGTGGAAGCAGTCCAATAAAATGTTGGGTCACTGCACCAGTACACCCAGAGAATGGCTTTCATGATCCTCCAACTGCTGTAAAAACTTGAGAAAAGTTAAAACGAGTTCTTGGTTTGTATGTATGTAACATTTAATCAATTGTTGTAAAGTTCTGAGAGTATTTTCCAAAGCAAAAACAGATTTTTGTTGAACCACTTGGAGGGCGCTTGTGTGAAAATCAGTAACAGGAATCTTGTTTGTCAGGGACAATAACCCACACCCTTTGTGATGTCCTTCATTACCTGCAGCTTTGCTCTAAACTGTACAAATCAAACCTGTCCATGCTGGTGTGTTGTAACTCATACTTGGAATTTAATTTTAGAATTCATTTGACCACTGTTTCTATAAAATAATCACATAATTTATATTTAAAACTCAACTTCAGTTATTGTTACCTTTATATAGATTAACTGTAACATTTTCTATGAGAATTTATAATATAAAGATATTGGATGGATGGATGGATGGATGGATGGATGGATGCATGCATGGATGAATTTATAATATAGTGAATGATGTGAAAGGGAATGTTGGCCACCTGTTAGAAAACAAGAGATGCAGCACTTTGTTATGTCCAACAGGGGGTAGTGTAGGTTAGAATATCCGTTTATTGGCCACAGTTTCTAAAATGGCTACATTTCATAAAGACATAATGATCTAAATATAATCACTTTAAAAAACTAAGCTAAGCTTAGATTTTTTTGCGGGGACATTTATCCAGTCTAAGCTGTCAGATGATCAGATTGTCAACACAGTGAACAACAAAAGTGCTTTGACCTCTACTTGCAGGGTTTGAACATGTGCAGTGAGAATGACAGAGTTCTGTACATCTATGACACTTGAACACAGTTACTGACCTGCAGGAGAACAACACAGTATCACCAGTTTCTACTGTAACTGCTTCAACTCTGTCTCTTCAAAATGTCTTAAATTAGTCTTAAGGAAATACTCCACAATAAAATGTACCATATTTAATTAAAAACTAAAATACTTACACACATGTCTACACCCCCAACACACACACACACACACACACACACACATACACACACATATATGTGTATAAACATGAATATTCTGGTTTTGCTAATCCAGGCTAGGCTGTCAGATGCGAAGAT